TTAGTCACAACAACTTGTGTGATGGAAGTTTCTTCAGTTGATTATGTCCATATTTAATACTATGTGTGAATGTAGTTCCAATTTATTTTGTTAAATGTTTATCCATTTTGAGGCCACCCAACTCCTCAATGACTCTGAGTGGCTTATGCGTGAACAAGAAAAAAATATGTATGTATCATTAAAAGAGATCCAGGAAGAGCAATACACAGCAACCATTAAACAAACAGAACTATTTCTATTGGTGCTAAAGCTGCAATATTAAGTTAGCTGCTGAACCCATTGGATTGGGATTGAGTGTTAAAGCTCAAACATTAACCTGCAGCCCACGATTTCTGTAATCTGCTGTATTGTCTGCCTCTTCGTCACATGAATTTTGAGCCTGGATGTTTCCCTCAACAGTGATGGCTAATAATTATTTAAAGAACTATCCATTGGTTCCCTATTTCCCTTTGAAAGCTGTCTAAACTACTGGATATCCTTTTGTCTGATGGTGGCTAATTCTGTGGGGGAGTATGAAACAACATTCTGGGAATTATTTTAGCAATTAATTTTATTTGGCGATTCTTGGTTCTAATAGCCAGGTCATTGACTTTCAACTAATTAACCTTTGTTTTTAATATAGTTTCAAGAGTGGTTATTATGTAGTTCAGACTTACTGTATGTGTGAATGTGTTTTTTTTTTTGGTTGGTTGGTTGGGTTTTTTTTTGGTACGTTAAGATTAGAGATGGGCTGGCTATAAACTAGATATCCTGGCACTGACCAAGTTTCCAGAACTGGACTTGCAGAGGACACTGGACCAATTTGGGGTCCAATCTCCTGGGCCAATACAACTTGCATCCCTGATCATGCTTTTGATCAATGTGACTGTCTCCTCTGGTGTCATTGATGGTGGAGACTATGGCAAAGCTATCCTAGTGAAGATCTGGGTCAGACTGCTTTGGTTAGCACTTCATGGGGCTGTTTGGTAGTGGTTGTGCCTGGTGATTTGGTGGTGATACCTGGCATAATTTGTGTATTATCTAAGAATTATGGGCTGTAGTAATGAAGGTAAAAGAATAGTGTCATGGTTCCAATAGATGAAACCCATGAAAAGAACTTCAAGGCAAAATTCTTCCTTAAAGAACATTTCATTCAGGAAACAAAGTATCGGCACTACATAGTTGAACCCCAAAACTAAATTCCCTTCCCCCGGATACAAATTAACAAAGTGCAATTCCCACGCCCAATAAGCTGTCATAAATCACATTCTCCAATTAGCGTAAAATGTGGGCTTTCTCCCCAGCTCCTCAGCCCGCCAAAACGTTATCAGCTCATCCTTGGGTTTCCACAAAACAGCGTTATTATTATTATGGCTAGCTGAGCTCGAGCTTTCATCCCAACCTCCCCTTTCTGTGCCTAATTTCTAAATACCAGAAGAAGCATGTTAAAAGTAAAGAGAAAATGGCTGCAATTTTCATCAGTTATCAGAACGGGAACATCCAATGTTTACAGCATTGACAAATAGAATAGAAATTGCATATGAAAACTTAAAAGTTAGTTATAATTTTTGCTGTTGTTCTCAATGGAATATGGATTAATATGTAGTTACCTTCATTACTACAGTCCATAATTCTTAGATAATACACAAATAACTTTTTTTGTAAAATGTATTCGATCTGTGCAAGACACTTGAAGATCTTACTACTACATATTAGAAGAATGCACTTTGTTTCTCTTCTATAACTTTAGACTCTGCTTATTGAAGATTGTTAACACAGAGAACTGGCTTAGTTTCGGTAATCCTAAAAGACATAATAGAAAGTGGAGACTTTTGTAATCAAGCCAATTATCTATATGGAGTTTTGGTGATCTATCTTGAAAAAGTTTGGCAGTATTCAACTTCCTTATCTACAAAAAAAAAAGTCTGAGAAGCAGAGTTCAGAATGGAAATTACTGAAGCTTTGATTTATCTGTCTCAAAACATTCCAGGATAAGCTTTCTTTGCAACAGACAACTGATTTATGATTTCTTCATCTAGGATCAACCTTTTTCAAAACTGTTTTGTGATATGAAATTTTGCACCCTATACAAGCAAGTTCTTAACACTTGCGAAGGCAAAGCAAAACTAGGTGATTATGTGCTTAGGTAATGATTGTTTTTTGTCATGTAAGATTATCCTGTGAGATTACCAAGTGCTCAGTTTGAGAAAGGACAGGTATAAAATATTAAGGGAAAATATTAATAAAAGGGAAATGCAATTGACAACCACTGAGGAGGAGGAGTAGGCAAGTTCCAAAAATCAGATACATAAAATAGAAAGGCAAAGCTTATAGAAGCTGACAAAGTGAAAGAATTATGGCAGAAGCGGCAGCCTCTTCTACTAGCAAGAGTTAACTGATGTAACTCGCCACCACTAGCAGAACATCCTCATGGAAACTGAGTGGCTGTTCTCAGAATGAGACTGAAGGGAAAGATTTACTATTTACCACAGGTTAAATGGATAACCTGGCAGGAAGATCTTCACTTTGGTTTTATTTATTGCAGTCCTCCCATTTTGGGAACATTGAGCTACCACAATTAGTTTAACTGAAATTTTTTTAACCCTTCTTTTGCAGGATTATCCTGCCACGATTCATTTTATATAGCTCTAAAATACGTAATTTAACTTCAAACAGAAGAGAGGGAGAGAGAGAGGAAGGAAGGAAGGAAGGAAGGAAGGAAGGAAGGAAGGAAGGAAGGAAAGAGGAAAAGAAAGGGAGGAATAGAATAAATGTCTCACCTTTTTATTTTTAAATGTATAGGCCATATAGAAGGAGTTTTTTAAGATACAACAGCACCGTTGAAGAAGCTATGAACCAAGTGTTTAGTGCTTGGTAGCAGTGTTTTCTTCAGTCCTGCAAACAAGGAAATTAATTATTTAATGGTATATAAGTGAAGTACACTTTACTCCTGATGTTTTGTGTCACAATATATCTTCTTTAATAATGTATTATCTTCTCTTGCAGAATTGCTACCCAAGTGTGAACAATTGCAGTGCCAATACAAGTGTGCCATGTCCTTGAACGAAACTAGATGTTACTGTGAGGAAGGATACGAAGTTGGCAGAGATGGAAAAACCTGCCAAGGTAAAGTAACCATATTATCATATTATTCCATGGGGTGCAGTGGTTAGAATGTGGTATTGCAGACTAATTCTGCTGACTGCCGACTGCCAGAGTTTGACAGATCGATTCTCACCAGCTCAAGGTTTTCTCAGCCTTCCATCCTTCCTAAGTCAGTAAAATAAGGACCCAGATTGCTGGGGGCAATATGCTGGCTCTATAAACTACTTAGAGAGGGCTGTAAAGAACTGTGGAATGGTATATAAATCTAAGTGCTATTGCTGTTGCTATTCCAAAACATTTTGCTCAGGAAAAATCGTAGGAAAGCTTGAATTTAGTGAACTATACAGACTGGGGAAGGTGGTGGTATTTAAACTTGATTTCTGGAGAACTTGCCCAATGCTTTTTCTATATTCTCTAGTCTTGTTCCCACCTATCCATCCATATTGGTTAGCAGAATAACATTTCTTCCCTGGGATCTCATTCAGAATGTTACACATTTTTCTCCAGAACAAATCCTGGTTCTTCCATTGTAAATGTTTACTGGCATGTAACATGCATCAAACAGGTACCAATACATTCCTGCATTTTTTTCCACATCACAACCATCTAGATCAGGCATGTCAAACTGCCGGCCCATGGGCCAGATGCATCACGCCGAAATTGCACCCACCCCATTGCCGGCAATGGGGAAAAAGTCCCGATACGTCACGTGATGTCACGTGACATCGTGCGTTTGACATGCCTGGTCTAGATGATACCGGTTCATACAGTCTAATTTACACTATAAGCCTTTTTATTCATAACTAGAGCTATGCCTTTCCTGCTAGTTATTCACCATCTCCACAGTGCCGTACATACATATATACTTTTAAAATTCCAATCAATGATCTGCATTTACCTTTATTCGTATCTATTACAACTTTTTCCTTTTTTAAAGATACAAACATACATTATTTCTGTTTTCATTATTTTAGTCTTCACTTTTTCAGTCTTGCAGTATTCTGTTAATATAACTTTACAATACAGATAGAGTTAATATTCACTGTTGGGTCCCACAAGTGTTTTTTCAAAAGGCAAATAGACTTTCTTTGTTTTTGCTTGAAGACATTTCCCTTCTCATCCAAGAAACTTCTTCAGTTCTCACCTGAAGATGACCTGGATGACTGAGAATCTTCATAGATATTCATTGTTGTGCTACCTGGGAGGGCTAACATCAATCTTGCAAAATTGAAAGTATTTCTCCATTCCTTTTCTACTACCTTCCAGAAAACTAGAGAGAGTTCCTTCTGAAATGCTTTCCATTCCATCCCCACTTCTTTTACATGCCAGTTGTCCCATCTGTGGCTCCCCCTCTAGTCTCCCAAGATCATTCCTACATACAATTGCAATCTGTCAATGTTTGTATAGTTTGATTACTGTTTCACAAGCACAGCTGACTCTACCTTGGCCCCAAATATGTTCATACTATCCTATGCAAATTAGTTTCTCTAATCTAATAAAGAATGCAGAGAAGAACAAAGATGATTAGGGGACTGGAGGCTAAAGCATATAAAGAACGGTTGCTGAAATTGGGTATGTCTAGTTTAATGAAAAGAAGGACGAGGGGGGACATGATAGCAGTGTTCCAATATCTCAGGGATTGCCACAAAGAAGAGGTGATCGACCTGTTCTCCAAAGCACTTGATAGCAAAACAAGAAGCAATGGATGGAAACTAATCAAGGAGAGAACCAACCTGGAATTAAGGAGAATTTTTCTGACAGTTAGGACAATTAATCAGTGGAACGGCCTGCCTCCAGAAGTTGTGGGTGTTGGAATGCTCAAGGTTTTTAAGAAGAGATTGGACAACCATTTGTCTGAAATGGTTGTCTCTTCTTGCTTGAGAGGGGATTGGACTAGAAAGGGATTGCATTGTCACAATAACTTTATTATTGTAGACACCACCAACATCCTGCCTTCATCCTGTCAAGGAGAAAAAATAATGATAAATACAGGATTCCTGAATATAATTTAACTATTTTTATTTTCAGATTTTAATGAATGTAATCTGTATGGACTCTGTAGCCAGACATGTCAAAATACTGGTGGATCATATATTTGCAGCTGTGTAGAAGGATATCTCCTTCAACCAAACAAAAAGACTTGCAAAGTGAAAAAAGGTAAGCAGGAATATATTGCTGTATTTATTTGCTGTGATTCTCCATTGTTGTATCTAGCTGACCACCAGTGGAACAAAATGCTGAACGATCTCTAAACCAGAGCTACTTTGTGGTGCTCTTTCTTTCTTTCTTTTTTAAAGTGCATTCTCTTTATTCTAATTGCCTTGATCTACATTTTGAAAACATGAATGGAATTTTGGAGTTGTCATAGATACAACAACTCTTGAAAAGAGAAAATCAGCACAACAGCAAATAGATGAGTTGAGCCTTTCCTGTATTATTTTAAGGTTGGCTTTATAGCAATCTGAAAGAATTTGAGAAAGATTAACTAAGTCAATAAACAGTTTTACTTGTTAAGGTTGATACAATGCTCAGTTCAATTCTCCTGGATTTTATGTGATGCTTCTTCATGTATCTTATTCTTATCTACAGTAAATCAAAATCAGAAAAAAAATTTCAGAACCTTTTCAAACTTCAAACTGACAGGTGCATATGTAGTCTTAACAAACACAAAGGATGTGTAATGCATTACAATTGCTGAATAACAAAAGACCTCAGCATGCCTGGCTGAGGAATTCTGGGAGTTGGTCCACAAGTCATAAAAGGGCTAAGTTTGAAGACCCCTGGTTTAACTACTCCATGCATCTGGTGAAATGAGCTATAGTTCATGGAAGATTATTCCTTTTAATAAAATCTGATAGTCTGAAAGCCTCCTTCTAACTCCAACACATAGTTCATAACAATTACTTTAAAGTAAACAGAATGGTTTAAATTGCTTCAGATGCCAGATGTGTCACCATTTTGTTCCTCATAACATTCAATGAGGGTTATGTATATTTTCATTAGTGGCATCATTGGCATCATAACCCTCATTGAATGTATATTGAAGGTTATGTATATTTTCATTAGTGGCAATAAATTAAATATTTAAAGGAATTGGTAAGCTTCCTTTAACAGAGCTGGAGGGAAGAAAGAATTTTCTTAATCAATATAACAGACTAATGTTTTTCTTGTGAAGTATTCATAATCGGCATGCATGAGGTACAATATGGGATGCTTGTGATAATACATGTAGTCTTTGACTTAAACCATTTGCTTAGGAGACCATTCAAAGTTACAACAGCACTGAAAAAAATAACTTATGATCAGTCCTCACATTTACAGTCAGCACAGCATCTCCATGATCACATGATCAAAATGCAGGTGCTTGGCAACTGGCATCCACTATGGTTGCAACATCCAGAAGTGATTTGATTATTATTTGAAATTTTCCCTTAAAGCCAATGAAGGAAGCCAGATTCACTTAACCATCACATGATTCACTTAGCAATTGCAGTTATACATTTAATAACCATGTAAAAAAATCATAAAATTGGGCACAATTCACTTAACAACTGTCTTGTTTAATAACATAGAACATAGAATAATTGAGTTGGAAGGGACCTTGGAGGTCTTCTAGTCCAACTCCCTGCTCAAGCAGGAGACCCTGTACTAATGCAGACAATTGACTGTCCAGTCTCTTCTTTAAAGCCTCCAGTGGTGGAGCACCCACAACTTCTGACGGCAAGCTATTCCACCGGTTGATTGTCCTCACTGTTAGGAAGTTTCTCCTTAATTCCAGGTTGCTTCTCTCCTTGTACAGTTTCCATCTGTTGCTTCTTGTCTTGCCTTCTGGTGCTTTGTAAAATAGGTTGATCCCCTCTTCTTTGTGGTAGCCCCTCAAGTATTGAAACACTGCTATCATGTCTCCCCTTGTCCTTCTTTTCACTACACTAGCCATACCTAATTCCTGCAACTTATAACCAGAGTTTTTCATATGTTTTAGTCTCCAGTCCCCTAATCATCTTTGTCGCTTCTCTTTGCACTCTTTCCAGAATCTCAGCATCTTTTTTTATATTGTGGTGACCAAAATTAGAAGCAGTATTCCAAGTGTGGTCTTACAAAGGCTTTATAAAGTGCACTATACTTTACATAATCTTGATTCTATCCCTCTGTTAATGCAGCCTAATAGAAATTCTGGTGTCATAAGTCTAGGACTTTCTGTAATTATGTCGGCTTGCTCTCTTGCCCCGTCAAAGGAAACTAAACCAATAGCTCTAATAACATTTCTAAGAAGTAGAAATAATACTTGTGAAAACTGTCCCTAATTAAAACCAAGTTACTAACTTACTTTACTTAGTTATTTTTTATCCCAGAGAGCAAGTGCAGTTTAGTTGAATTTTCCAGAATTTACCGCAGTGTATTTGGGAAAATGCAGTGAATATAGTATCAGGGAAATGTGAAGGGTAGAATATGATTAAAGATATTGATTATCCCAGGAAATTTGGGTTTGTTTAAAATTCATATTGATCCACAAAGCATAGCAATTAGTTTGAATAAATCTAAAAGAAAGCTATACACCAAAAATCAATTTCATTTTTCTTCCTGTCGTACTCACATGGCATTTTACTGATGTCATTGCTGGAACTATAATGAATAACGCAATTAGTAATTAATAATAGAGAAGTGCTAATGCTCTTAATGCACTTTAACGTAGTGTTATTTAACGAAGACAGCAACAATGGTAATACAAATGTAGCTGAGATTTATTTCTGAGTAGTCATATGTAAGATTGTGTAGCTACTCATACTAGACTGGCAGCAAAATGTCAGCAGGAGAAATAAATAAGGAAAGAAACTCCCAAATCAAATATTTCATAGGTAAGATATCACTGAAATAGAGACAGGAAAATATGATGACAAGCAGTTATAAGAGGTTTGTAGGCATTACTGCATAATTCATAAAGGGCTAGGAAAAAATATTTCAATTGAATCAGTTGGGCCCTCCATACAAAATAACATATATAATCCCAAATGTAGTATTTTAACCATACAGCATTGTTCTGTAACTGTGAGCAAAATGAATATGGCTTTCAGCCAGCATGTTATTCAATTATGCCCTCATAAAACTCTAGATCTATCAGAGTCTAACTTACTTAGAGTGATTGCTCAGATATGTACTTGTACAGGAGGTTTGCTTGAAAAAAATATGTATCAACTGATCTGTAAACATGAACTTAGCCCAAGAAATACCAAGGAATGGGACAAAAAAATACTCCTTAAGATTGCCCTATCTTTACTGTCTTTGGTCTAAGAGGTAGGGAAGGAGAAACACTATCAGGCTTTCAACGGTCTCCTATTGTAGCTTAGATCAATAAAGTAGATGTCTAGAATTTCTTATGGTGTCTGTTTCCTGACTTGGTCAACTTCAAAAAGATGGCGTCAATCCTGAAGCTTGCCTGCTTTCTATTCAGACAGGCAGGGGACCTTGCTTCTGATCAAGAAGATGGCATCTGATCCTCAGAATACCCTGTTGTGCATTAAACAACTTGCTGAAACATTATTACAACATCACCACCAAGAGGATTTATGAAAACAAATCTACCCAATCCCAGGGTACAATTAAAACAGCATTTGGGGCAAGCTTTGCCTCAGTCAGAAATAGCTTAGCAGCCAGCAACCCAGCCAATTTCTCTGTTTCCATGGGAGTTTGCCAGGGAAGCTCAGAGAAGCCCAGGTTCAGTTCTTGACTATCACAATTCAGTGTGAGTTGTTTATGGCAGGCCAACTAGCAGAATTTCATAAAGAACTCACCAAAGTAATTTTCTTTTGAGTTTTCAGAAAGAAAGCCCATTTCTCTTTTCCACGGCTCCTTTTTTTTATAGTAGTGCCTGAGTATAGTCATTCGTTCCCTCAATACTCAGGATGATTCAGTCTCTGCTTTATTGAAATCCTTAATAAACGAAGTACAATATGTGCTAAATTCATGCAATGGTATCCATAACAAATTGAAGTGAGGTCAAAATGATGACACAATGTGATGATGTCATTGCGAAAAATGTCACAATTGCATACTTGTGCAACTGCCTAAGTTACAGCATTTGTGATACATAGGAGACAGAGGAGAAGAAGCCAACTTTGACTAGGTAGAGCAATTAATTTCAGAAGACAGTGTTGGGGATATAGGCCGATGGTTGAAACAGCATTTTTAGCTAGCTATCAAGTTATCTCTTCCATTGTAGACACTGAGATGGTCTTTGCCTGTGATCTGCCAAACAGACCAAGCTGAATAGCCAGGCTGAGAGGTTGCAGGTATGAAGGAGGGTGTAGATTAAGCATATTCTATCTTTAAATACTGCAATAAAGGGATTTCAGTTCTGGCAGTGAATCCAGTTGTAATCTTCAAGGCTAGTTGCATCTGGAACTTGTCCACGGATCACAAATAAAATAAGCAAAACGGCAGTTCTCCACCTCCCCAAAACCTAATAGAAACAATAAGAGGGACTGTCCTTGTTGGCAGAAGCAATGGAAAAACAGTAGTGACACAATCTGCAACAGAGTTGGCAGAATCTTAGTTTCATTCCTGATTTAAACTGAGTTGTGTAACACAAAATTGGTATTCTGTTAAGAACTAATCCTCTCCATTTAAAAAAATACTTTGTTTTTGGGGAAAGGACACTAAATCTGTGTTTTTAAGGGGCCTGTATAAATCCTGGGAAGCACTTTGCAAGAGCAAAAGAGTAAAAAATATATTTGATTTTAAACCATCCAAACAAAACTACATCCTATTCCTGAAAATTCTTGAAATTTATTTCTGAATGTGAAGAAAAGAGTAGTCCTTCTCATGATGGTGCAGAATAGAGAAGGGATCTCTTGTTTCTTACTTTCCCTCTCTATTCTCTTGTCATTATGTACATAAAAGAGTTACTGCTGGATTAACTACTTCCCTTGGGAATGATCGTGCTAATTATCCACAGTAATCTATTTAGCAGCTCTGGAAAGTTCTATGTCTTTTGATAGATAGACATAGAAATTGTATTGCAGTACTTCATGTCTCTGGTTTTGCTTCCTATTTGTGTCATTTTTGCAAGTAAAATATTTGTATGCTTGCTAAAGTTTACCAAATAAACATCAACCTTTTTTTTTTTTGGTTAGCTCTAATTAATTGAGTGTTTGCTTAGACTGTTGTGGACACAGGGGTTGATTGAAAGTGCACTGGGAATTAAATTGGAAATTACTCACAGTAATTTTCCAACAGGAATTATGGTGTAAATATAGGGGGAAAGTAAAGAATAAATACAGTTCAAATGACAAATCTGAAAATAATTTACTTGACTGGGTTCATACATGACTAGTGTTAGGTCAAGGTTCTGATTAGATCAATTAGCTAAATTTATCACATCCAGATCAGCAACAATCTGGATATTCATATTCATTCATTAAGCATTGTCAAAAGCAATTAAAACAATAAAAAAGCTGTCTATGAACTTTCTTTCCTTGGCAGAATTAGAGAAAAATCCATAATCATTCAGTGATTAAAAAATAGCAACATATACCTAGCAGAACCATACTGTCTATTGCAGTTTAAATGGACTTTCTGTGCAGTAGAATCTTCAGAAACTCTTTAGGAAATGTTGAGGATACTTAGAATACTGAGGAAGTTAAAGTAAGATCACCAGATCTACTATGCATTTCCCCTTCTATACATTATGGCTGATCAGGTATTTGAATTTTTAGAGACTTATAGTAAGAAATAAGAACTTTCTCCAAGACACAGCAACCAGAGATTGAAAATTGTTTTTCTGAAATCTATGACGCCATGATTTCATATTCTGACAGATCATGTTTGTAGCATGTTGTTTGTTTGTCAGAAGCATCACAATTAAAATAAGGCATACTATACGACATACATTTAAAATATAAAATACAAGATTAAAACATGTACAAATTAAACAGATCTTGCCCAGAAACTAGCAACATTGTGTTCTGTCACACTGCCGTGAAGTCTTCAAGCATACACTGATTGGGGCACAAAGGGCAGGTATATACATATGTGTTGTTTTCTGCATGTCACCACAATTGCAAAGAGCAGAACCCACCGGAGAGCCCCATTTGTTCAGAATATCTCTGGATCTTGTTGTATCCACATGCAATCTATTCAATGATTTCCATACTTCCCAGCTTTTGTCAGACCCAGGTGCCAGCTCCTCTGTTGGTTCCATCCAGTGTTGGTTCTTTGTAGCTTTCCAAAGGTCCACTCTGCTTTCAAATTCTTCAGTCTTCTGTCAACCTAGGAAGTTTTTCCCGGATTTTACTCTCTGATGAACTAGTTGTGGGCCATCAAGAGGGTATTGTCTAGATATTGATGATTTGAGCTTCTCTCTGTATACTGCTGCTTCTCTGAAAATAGAAGGTTTGGCAATGCTGGCTAGCTGGTAGATCTTATTTAAAAGGGTGGGTTTAAGGCATCCGGTAATAATTCTGCTAGCTTCATTCAGAGCAACATCTACTTTCCCAGCATGTGCTGATTTATACCAGATTGGGCGGGTTATTCACCTGATGAGTAGCAAAGAGCTAGAGTTGTTGTCTTAAGGACCCTTGGTTTGGCCCCCCAGGTAGAGCTCATTAATTTCCTGAGGATGTTATTTTGTCCACTGACCTTTATTTTAGTGTTGGTTTATTTTAGTGTTTGTATTTTGGTGTAGCACATTCTTTTCTTCCTTTAAGCATTTAATAAAACCTTCATCGAACACAAGTAAAGAAGTGTTTATAAAAGGAGCAAGTTATTTTAATTGGTTTATATAATTGTTGCAAAAATGGGCACATTATTTTTATTTGTTAATTAACCTTTCCTTCTTTGGCCTCTCCTTTTTCCTTTTGTTTTTAGAACCTAATGATCTTCCACCTCTACTATTGATTGCAAATTCTGACACTATTGATGTCCTATATCTAAATGGAACTAGAACATCCACCTTTGGATTTTTGAGAGGAAGTGGAATTCAGACATTGGATTATATACACAATAAGAACACAATATGTTGGATTGAATCAAGAGAATCTTCAACTCAGTTAAAATGCACTGAGATATCAAAAACTGAAAAGCTGACTGATGAATGGATAATTAGCACCATTCCTAATCTTCACAGTAAGTATTTTAAGTCTGAAAAAGTATTCTTTCCAGAAAAAATAATAAGAATCTGTCATATCAATGACATGTTTTATAGATTAATGTTATGTTATTAATGTATGAATAAAACAATTTTTGGCATATTATGAAGTAAATTGTTAGCTGGTTCTGTTCATGTTACATTTGGAGGTACAGATTTTTAAAAGATTTAAATATTGTATCCCATTTACTTATTAGATTTAGGTCCTGCTTTTTGTTCAGGAGCTACATAATACCCCCTGCTCCCATTTTTCTTTGCAACATTATAAGGTAGATTTGGCTGAGATAGATTGACAGGCCCAAGCGAGTTTCCACAGTTTAAGGTGGTCTTGAACCTGGGTTTTTTCAGTGCAAGTTTAATTTTTATATCACACAGCTTTACTTATTTAAATGAATATAATATAAATTTATATAGTGGTAATAGAAAGAAAAACCTAAAGAGGCAGTGAAGAGGATTCTTATTTTAGTACTTTAAACCTTTGGATGCTGCCCATCTAAACCAACTTTTCTCTAGGCAGTTTGCCATATGTTAACATCATGCAGACATGCGTGCACTTATATTGATTAATAAGCACACGGCAGCCAGGGTAGTTAGATAGTCCTGTGTGGCATATATGGTTAAAATGGACGGAATATGCATAATGCAGAATCTGAGGGCATTAATGCCAGCAAAAAAGTATGTCCATATACACTGAAGTGTCACACCTTCTCCATAAGGATTATGTGAAAGGCAGTTCCTTGCTCAATTTGGAAATTATACTTTTATTGGTGAAGCCTATACACATGTCTTCGTTGCAGCCCCACAGTACAATAGCACTGATTCATATTTTGTTAATATTTAGAATCAGCTGTTCTGGATTTTTTTACAAGTACTAGTCTAGTTAAGTATCCTTAATCTCTACTTGTTCAATTGCATTCTTTATTTTAAGTACATTAGGTACATTTCTGTTTGTTCAATGTTATTTTGTTACTGTCAACCCTTATTTCTAAGCCAGTATTTCTCCGTCTCCACAACTTTAAGCTGTGCAAACTTCGGTTCCCAGAATTCCACCAGTCACTGGCTGGAGGAATTCTGGGAGTGGAGGTCTGCACGGCTTAAAGTTGTGGAGGTTGAAAAACACTGCAAATTATTGAGATATTTTTTGAAGTAGCAGTGAACCTGATCTACACTCTTCATGGCAGTTTCTACATCCCTGTAAGCTGCTTGGCTTTCGTTTCCTTCTTTGTATAAGCAGCAGGAAATGAATGGGGTCCTCATAGGACTTCTCAGCCTTTGGGTTCAAATAAGCTATTTGTCTCCATCCCACATGTACATACGAGAAGCTCAGCCATGGGAGAGTCATAATCACTTGCAAAAAGTGTTGCTATGCTACATGCTTCGAGCACTGCAACTTGCAGAAGCATTTTAATAAAAGAGAAAAAAAAGATACCTTCATTTGAATGCATTATAAACACACACACACACACAAACAAAACTAGACAATGACATACAATGATGTGGAGATTATCTTTGTGTGAGAGTGTGTGAGTGTGGGCATGCACACACTTGTGCTTTGTAAGTGTAACTTTCTTTTTATTCTGTAGACAGTAGGAATGAGGGGAACTCAGGTAGATAGGGAAGGAGGGAGGGAGAGAGAGAGGGAGAGAGGGAGGGAGATTTGGTAGATAATAAGCAAACAAAGAAACTGATCAATGGGTAGGAGACTGAATTCATTTTTTTAACTCTGCTCAGGCTTGAGGGAGAACTGCACGCTTGTGATATTTCAAGGCCAGTAGAAATCAAAATTATTAGAGACCTGCTTCAGATTTATTGATGCAGGGTTATGGGGTGGGGGAACCAGGTGTAATAGATCTAAATGGCTAGAGAATTTATAATCAGCCTTCTTAATTCTTGTTTATCAAAATTAAGATAAACAGAGAAGTTACAGTTAAGCATATGCTCACAGTATCAAGCTTCAATAATAAAAAGACTATAGAAGGCTGAGTTCTTACAAATGTTGAGCATTTTTCCAAAATAAATGTGATTGTGGTTAGAGAATTTAAAAACTACACAGTAAGTTTAATTTTTTTTTAAAAAAAAATGTTTAGCCTTTTTGTATACTTTCCATAGTATGGTGTATAGTAATGCTATAGTCTTATCATTTTCCCAAAGAACATTTTTTTTTAAAAAAAGGAAGATATAGAACTACTTGACATTTTGCGTTGTGAGGTTTTTGATTTTTTTTTTTATGAAGCCACTGAGTTAGAACATGTATTTGTAAAATGAAAAGTTAATTTAAAAATGGAGCAGAATCATTTCTGGCATAGTCAGATTCCCAGCATGTGATATTTTTTCTGAATCATTTCAGGAGCAAAGTCATATACTGTTTGAAAGAAATATAAAAAGATTGAGAGGAACATAATGTATGAAAAGGCTGGGCTATTCTGTCAGCATGTGTAAACTGTTCAGTTTATCAATATGTCACAGAACATCTGGGACACCATGTGAGGATTCCTGCAGCCGTCTGATGGTTCTGAAGTTGATCATAAGATGTCATTTTTGTAGGCATAATTATATAAAAACTGTCAAGGCATATAAGCCAAAGTAATGAAGTAATTGGAAAGTGTTTTAAATATCTGCCACTGCATTTGTTTCCAGAACATACACTAGAATTTCTTTCAGTCTCTCATTAAAATTTCAGTGTTTGTTTCTGTCATGTATCAGTAGTAACAGAAGTTAAAGCAAGCAAAATGTGCCTCTCCCCTTAATATAATTTTAGGTTTTCCACACTCCCAGAGGAAATTGAATATGTGCAGTTTTTTTTTTCTTCTCTTCTTTTTTTAAAAAGTCATAGAGATTAACCATATGATTCATTAACTGACATCTCAAAATGTTTAATAAAGCAAGAAAAGCCCAGATGTGTAAAGCAAAGCTAAAATGAATACAAAATTAGCTCATTTTTTTCTATCCTGAGACTTTCTCAATATTTGGTAAATTATGTGCTTTCAAGCTCTATACAATGTATTCTTTTCTGGAATGGATGGAAACTAAAAATAATATAGGGGTAATTGGAAAATTATGCATACTGGAATTTAATATATTCAATTATATTAATTATATTATACACAAGCTCTTCCTAAATAGTCACTTTAATCCTTAAAAAGTTTTTTTCAAATAAAATTGTGATGTAACCAATCTAATTTCTAAAGGTAACATAACACATAGATGTGGATTAAATGAACCGTTAGATATATGTCAACAAGATGTCAGGAGCAGACATCTTATCCATATCTCTTAAGATCCTTTAGCTTTCCAGGTCCATATAATTAGCCTACTAAAGAACTGGTACTGGTAAATTTCACAATTTTTATAAGTCTCAAATCTTTAAGAAAATGACAGACCAGAATACCTTAAATATTTATAGTTAGGACTGTCCTTTTCAAAGAGATTCTTGGAATCTATTTTCAGAACATTAAAGTAGCCATGTTGTTTTCCAAATTCATAAGTCTGTTTCAGAAGCTGCTCTTAGTTGTTTCTGCAAGCATATACATATGCAACTCCTTTGTTTTCATGTGTGTATGGAGCAGAATCAGGTAACATAATGACAAAGTGGTGATTGTGTCTATGCATCCTTGAGGAATCAGGATAGACTTAAAAATCACTTCTCAATTTCTTTTTTCTTTCTACCTTCATTTTCTTCTTCTGATGAAATGTGTTGGTAGTAATTTTGTGTATTTTGGGGAGGGACTTGTTAATTCCTTCAGCTGAAACCAATTTGCAGTGGTACACAATTTCAACCATTGTTAATTCAGTTACTCAGATCCATTTTCTATATTGACCCTGGTTACTCAGTTTTCCTAACTTTCTGTTCCATGACATTAACTGCTATTTTCTTTTCTATTGACAGGTCTTACTAAATATATATTTGTGTGTATGTCTGCATCCATTATATATAAACAGTTAAAGCAAATATATGCATATATTTAGTTAGTTAATTAAAGCATCAGAATGCATCTACATGCAGGCACACTAAGCAGATTATTAAAAGAAATATTTTCTTTCTTCACTAGTTTTCTAATGTGTTTTAGGGTTAGCTTTACAATAAATGCTGTAAAAGCATCTTCTTCTTCTTCTTCTTGTGCCATATCCGTTATCGGACATTGGCAATCATGTTGGCGATCCTGTTTTTATCAGCAGCTGCACGAAAAAGTGCTGCTGAGTTTTGTCCAAACCAATCCCTTAGATTTTGAAGCCACGATGTTCTTCTTCTGCCTGGACCTCGTTTGCCTTCAACCTTTCCCTGGAGGATTAAATGAAGTATGCCGTATTTTTCTGGGTGTCGCATCACATGTATGAAATATTCTAACTTTCATTTTTTAATTGTTTTGATGATTTCCCTTGGCTTTCCCAGGAGGCTTATCACCTCCTCATTTCTGATCTTGTCAACCCTGCTTTTTTGTGTGTGTAAAAGCATAATGGTTGTAATCCTTGCCTTGAAAATAGAAGGTTGCTGATTTGAAATTGAGCATTTTTAATTACCATTCCTCTTTCCTTGAGCTTCCTACTTGTCCCCCCCATTTTTTTTAATTAGTCCAGCATTGTATCTTTTCATTGTTTTCTCCAGTCATCTGAAGTAGAAGGGTTTCATCCTTAGTTCTCAAATAGCTAAAATAAACTATGGGCCCTCTTGACTTACCAAAAATGAGTGGAGGATTAATAGGGGTCTATTTTTGCTCTCCAGAAATGTTTGCACATCTGTTCTGGTGATGGAACAATGGGGCAGTATAAGTGTTTAGTCTCTTCACTTCTTGCCTCCTCATCCCAGATTAAAGAAAGAAGAACAGTTTTGTTGTTACTTTTCTGAAAAAAGACAAGTAAAAAAAAAGATGTCAAAAAATAATGGATAGGTAATCTAATAATGTGTGGAAGAGGTTGAATATTTAGTCAATTCTAATAATGGCTTTAATAAGTGAGCGTGTGTGAGTAGAAGTGAATAATA